AGTGGTGCGAGAGATACTGTGCCAAGGCCAAGGCCAAGTACTTCGGCGTGCAGTGGGGCAAAGAGTGAGTACTACCAGGCTTTTAGGCGTGTTTGCTGTTCAGCGGGCGTGGTTCTCAGCAAGTAGTTTCCGCGGTCGCAGACAGCAGAGGTCAACTGCGGCGGATTGATCTCCCGTATATACGGACCGAGGAATCATCGACGATTGGTGTTGTACTGCGCGGCCGATCAATAAGGTGCAGACAACCGTTCGTACGTGTTCCGCGTGCACTTGGTAAACCTTCTTCGCGAGAACCTCCTGCTAAGTTACAAATAGTTTTTGTTGTGTAGCTGTGACTGGGACGAAAATGATATCATAGAGAAAGATATCATGAGGAGTGAAGGAGCGAACGGAATGAATGAACCCGTTACCTATTCATGCATGTCTTCAAAACGTGTATATATGCCGGTAAACAATCTATTGCGGCAGGTGCTTCTGCGGAGATGCTGACGACGACTTCACCACGCACGGAACGGCGACTTGCGACATGCCGTCCAGCGGTGACCCCCGGCACATCTGCGGGAGCAACCTAGCGCTCAGCACTTTCATGCGCTACTGATAAACCTCAGGATATCGGTTGGTTCTACTCCCCTTCGCCGAGGAGGAAGGCGACAATGACTGCCAAACCACGGCAATGATCCTTTCATCAGACGCACCATGTCGTCGTGTCCTACAAAGCAGCTTTGGGCATGTGGAAGCTCCGGAAATCTCATTCCTCGTGTTGTCTAACTTCATTCTTGTGCCCCACATTGAGTGTAGTATTCATGTCCTGCGTGGATCTTCAAGGAGTTCGTAACGTTTGCACTGCTTGAAAGACCCACATGATTTCATTCCTGTATCTTGCCGGTTGTGATGAAAACAGCAGGGCGCTCCATGTGTTTGTTCTGTCGTGCCGTGGCCCATGCCACAGCGAAGTAAATTTTAGTAGCATGTCCCGTATTGACCGAGTCTTCGCCGAAGTGAGTCCTTGCTCTGCCAGAGGCTACGATGTGTGTGTCGTACTGCTACCCGAACCGTCGTGTCCCCTATGTTGTTCGTGTCTTTCGAGTGGTGGGGATGCTGCGGGTAGGTCACCGTCATGGTACCCGCCGCGATATTAGTTTTGATTGTTGTGTGGTGCACGTTGCATTGTGTGAGGTACATCCGATGAGCAGGCTGTAGGTGAGACTGTCCTCACCGTACTGAAGACGATAGACGCCAGGTGGTGTTGCAGTTCAGAGTAGAACGAGCAGTGTTGTCTCCATACGGAAATGGTCCGACTTGTTTCGTCGTCTGTCTAGAGGTAGGTGTGGTGGTTTCGTTTTTGCTCCCCCTACACAAGGTTTATCATACTAGTCCTTGGGCGTGTGTTTGTCGTCTTGCTCGATTCGTGTTGTCTAAGATGGTTGCCTTTCTTTTTCGATTCCCATGTACAGCCGTTTGTGCATGGCATATATTTGGTGGGACTTGTTTCATGGAGCAGTATTCCAAATTTAGGATGTTAACTTCCACGTCCAAGAGCATCAGCGATCCGTGCATGGTATTGCTTGGATTGTACATTTTTTATTCAGCATCCCGAGTTTAGATATTGATGGACCCGGGCAGTATGGAGCAACTAGGAAGAAACAAGTGAACACTTGGTGGGATGTAGATGGCTGTACATGGCGTACACGCAAGATTTGGTACTGGCTTTGTATCGACAGTTTCCGGTGAGTCCCAACGGACAATAGTAAACAATCCAAGGTTCTCCTTTGGGATGAATGCCAACGGACAGGAGCGCCTAAGAAAAGTCGAAGGTTCGGAACGTCCTTCTTTGTAGTGAGCGAAGGGCGAGCGCAAACATCCTATCTACCAGACAGCGTGATTTACAATTGCCGAAAGTGAACAATATCCAGGTCCTGCTTTCGAGTGTGACATCCAACGGGTGAAAGTGAAATCAACAATCATGGACTTCCTGTAGTGAGGGCAAAGTGATTGCAACATCAGAGTGAAAAATCGAAGGTCGTTTCTGTAACGAGCGTACAGCGAGTGCAAGACCACACCAAAAAGCGTGAATCCAATGGACGAAAGAAGTCAGCAAATCCAAAGTTCTCCATAAAAGAGTGAATGCCTTTGTGCGGAAGTGAAAAATATCCAAGTTCTCTTTTCGAGTGTGACTTTCAACGGGTGAAAGTGAAATCAAAGATCATGGACTTCCTGTAGTGAGGGCAAAATGAGTGCAACATCAAATACCAGAAGGCGTGAATCGCTTGGGACGAAAGTGAAGAGTCGAAGGTTGTCCTTTTGAGTGAATGCCAATGTTCAAGGGTGAAAAATCGAAGGTTGTTCCTGAAACAGGCGCACAGCGAGTGCAGGTTCGGTGTGCACGCAACTGGATCGTTTTGCCGACAAGATTTTGCGCATGCAGATACAGCGCTTGACAACTTTTGTACGTCGGGGTTCTTGCTGTCACGCCGCGTGTGTTGTATGTAGGTATGGGTCGCCACACAATTCCAACATCGGTCTCCAATATGCCCTAGACAATGTACTTCCGCAGAGAACGAGGATTGCAACGACTGTTTTCAGCTCTTACCCTCACTACCCTATGAATCACGCTGGCTGATGTTCGGACGTGCTTGCTATAGCAAGTTCAGAACCTTACATTTTTCACTTTCGCCCAATGCATTCACTCTTCTAAGGCGAACTTTGGATTTGCTGACTTTTTTCGTCCATTGGATTCACGCTTTTTGGTGTGGTCTTTGCAGCTAAGAAACTCCGACCTGAATGTTTCCAGAACTCACGCATGGTGAAGACCGCCGAAATGCCACGGCATCGCTAGTGCGACTGCCGCTATGCGACTGCCGTTGTACTAATCCGAGCCTTGTTCCATAACAGAGGTTGTTACGGTGGTGAAGCGTAGTACAGCGTCGAGGGCCGGATACGAGTTGAATGGCCAATCACCATATAGTTAGGTAAACGTTGGGGGTCAGCCCCGTGTTTGAGGTCGAATTTTCCTGCTCCCTCTCTTCAAATCTCTAGTTTTAACATCGCGTTTTCGTCGACGGACATGAAGACCATCATTTCGCACCAATTTCGACCGGACGGAAGTGGTTGGCACCGCTGGTTCCATTACAGTGAGACGTGTGAACTATGCAGATGTCAGCCAGCCATGGAGAGCGGTGTCTCGGTTGCAGGTGGTCTTCACTTTCTTTGGAGCGGTTCGTGCGGGGAAATGGCTGATGGAGATGGAAGGGTCTCATTTCCCGTCGGGTCAGGGTGCATGTTGACCGTCAGGGTTTTATTTTAGAGAAAACCAGCCGCCATAGGATAACCCAGGGCTTTAGTGGCCGGGTGAAAGTGGGCGTCAACCATCAGCTAGCTTTCGCTCACACCATGACACACCCGGCTGATTCGCAAATTGGACCAGGTATGTATGGTATACTACCCTGTTGTGTCACTTACCCAGCACAAATCATCGGGAGGAAGGTTACACGAAACTGGGGTATTTTTTACCAATAAAGTTACTTGAGAATTAGACTAAACGTTTTCTTTCAACTGCTATTTCGTGTTGTTGAAAATCGGAACCCGACATGTATCTTCGGAAGAAAAAAATAATCTACCGATCTGGCCTCACAGACCATGATTCGAAAGCCTCAAAAATATACATGACGCACCACGTGCCCCCATTATATTAGAAAAACTATTCAACATCGCACAGCTTTGGCACCTGCATGCATGAAGGATGTGAGGGTCCACTCGCCAGCGAAGCAAAAAAAAATGCACACAAACACACACAGGTGCCGCTGCGCGGTTACAACGAGACGAGATGCCACCAAAACGTCCATCCGTTGTCCAAAACAAGTCGCGTGAAGGAAGAAGCAATAGCCCGGTGTGCCACAAGAAAAATAGTACTCAATGTCCACCATGCCTGAGGTAAAAGGACATCCTGAGCAATGTCGCCGCCGCTATCTAAAACCTACCGTTGAACAAGATTCGCCTGCACCGGTAGTACGGGGTTTCCTCAGTCACAGCGCCGCCTAAACGCGCGTCCGTTGTCAAAAACAAACGACGCCAGGGAAAAGAAGAAACAATGCCCCGGTGTGCAGTCACAAAAAAAAAGCCAACGTTCATCATGTCTGAGGTACAAAGGCATCCTGAGCCACGTCCCCGCCCTTATCCTACCACATGAACAATATCTGCCGGTACCGGGACTACGGTCAAAACGCGCTACGAACAGATTCACTGTCGGCCGTCCTCTATTGCTACCGCTTTGGCCTGGGCGGTTGGGGGCGGTACCCCAGACCACCGGTTGGTCTGCTTGCTTATAGCGTCCATTTTTCCCTCCACCGTCTGCCTGGTCATCTTTCGAGTCAACAAACCGTCCGGTCAGCGAAGCGGGAGGGGAGGGGGGGAGGGGGTTACTTGCGTGGTGCTTGACGCCACCTTGTCACTTCAATGCATCGCAGTCGAGAAGGAGAACACCTACCCTCACCAGGATTGCTGGGGTACTCTGACGGACAACATCCGAGACATGGTGTATCTCCACATCATGTTTTGGGTGAAGGGACAGCGCAACACGCACACCAAGGTGGAAGGAGGAGGGAAGCCGTTCGGATGGCAACATGGTCAACAAATTGGCACACAGGATCACCAAACAACACAAAACAAAAACCTGATAGGTGACTCCCGACATCCAATTTATCGGTAGCATGGAGTGCGTGGCTGCTACCTGTTTCGGGTCGCACGACTTGTACACATGGGAACACGACAGCCAACGCCTGTGTTGGCAAACCCTGCTTAACTTGGCAGTCAAGTCGACTTGCCCTCGCATCACGCGCGTGGGCGCCCGGCCATGAAGAATTTCATAAAACCCAGAGAGAGACAGCCAAGAGGTACCCACAAGAGTGACAGAAAAAGTCGATTCCTGTTGCGTACCTCCGGTGGCCCCGCCATGAAGAACCCCGCCGTCATTACCAGAATCGTAAATCCCTGTGCGACCACCCGGCCCCTCATAAGCTTCTGCGAAAGCTGCTTGTTGCCCTGCTTGAAAGAGTAGATTCCTGCGACCCGACAGCATGGAGCAGTACACACGCGGGATGCTTGCGTCGGTTCAATGTAGCAGGCAAAAAAAAGAAGAGACAAATTACTCAGCCTTTTTATCTGATGAACCGAGTTCAACGACGGCCACAACCGGAACAGAAAAATATCGTTGGAAAAACAGGAGGGGAGACGCATGCCACACATATCACGGGAGACAAAGGTGACGGAGATATACGGAGTACGCAATGGATGGGCACGAGAGAAAGTGACCACACGAGCCACCAATTGCAGGGATATTCGACCATCGCCTCGCCAGAAACAGGAGGCACAACCGGCGTGGCGATGCTTTCCTTTGCGCTACACTGGGCCCCCTCTGCCACGGACGCTGTGTGCTACTTACTCTAGAACTGACGATTCTCATTGGCCAGCTATATGCATATGTCGTAGCTAACAACCCTCTCCGTTAAGGACATACATGGTTCTTCGTTGAAACAGGTAAATCTGTTCTAAAGCCGGGGAAAGTGTCCTCCAGGTTGATATCCCTCCTTATGTTCTATCTACATTCTGCGGGCCACCATGCCTGTGAAAAAAAGGTTGTCCTTGACAGGGGAGTGTCCTTAAAAATGGTGCCCTTAACCGAGAGATGACTGTACCCCTACAAGAAAACAAGGCAAGCATCAAGGCACAAGATGACCACAAAACACACACAACCAAGGTCAAATGGGGAGTGGCAGGGAACCACAATCCCATGCGGCGAGGTGGTCAGAAGCTTTACTCCTAACGTCAAGATGTATCTAAATGCTGCACCAAACCACGAACAATGCGATCCACAGGGTATCCACAATCGCACGAGGAGCGATTGCCCCTTGGGGAAGTAATGAAATCGTATGCACCCTTTACCTATAGCCCTAACCCCAACTTTTCCGATTCTGTATTACTCAGCTAAACCTGCGCAGACTACAGCGTAGATACGATCGAAGTCCCTCCGCGAGCATCTGTTCTTTCGCCTTAACTCAGAAAAGCCTAGACTTCCAGAAAAAACGAATGATTTGGCCATGCTAAGGGGAGAAGCGCGTCAGCTATGGGGACCTGACGGTGACGTTGCATGTTTGTAGTTCTACTTCTTTTGTAATATTCAGGCAGGGGACATCGCAGTATCAACTATCGTACTTCTGTAGTCTACCACCGCAGCATCATTTCGCTGTTTCACGAATACGGCTGTGCTCTACCAGAACACAGGCCCATCCTGCTAAGGTTCACTTTTTACGCGATAGTTATGGTTTGCACGACGGGCGGTAGTTCGCAAAGCGTGTGCTACTGAGCCCTCAAGGGTTGTGCTGGCTGCTGCTGCTGGCGGCTGCTCGTGTTCTGTTTGACCGGCTGCTGGCAGCGCAGAGACCAAAAACGGGTGCCTCGTCGAACTCCGATATGTTGGCGATTAGAAAAAAACAAGAACGGGCGGCAACCTCAGGCCAGAGTCCGCCTTCAACGAGAGTTCGACAGCCAGAGTATTAGCAATATAGCAACAGAACCTCCTCTTCCGCTGGTAAGGTACGAGTCAAGGGGCCGGTTGGAACGCCGGGCAGCGGAGTGTACCAGCCGTGTGTAGATACCTTAATGCTAGGAATACAGGGAACTTACAACCTCTCCTTCCCCGTGCCTTCACTATTGAAGGTAACTGACAAATGTGTCTCGACGTGTGCTACATCTCTGCTGACGCTTTGCTGTGTTGGGGGCGAAGCATGCTGCTTTTGGAAAACACTGATTGCCATACCTGACACCAAGAATCCCACTGTCGCTAAGGCCCCGATCGGCACCAGAGGCTCCTTTTTCCCCTTCACCGCCAACTTCTCAAAGAAAGAGGGTGCTCGCTCGTCCATTGTCACCATGATAGAATAGTTTGTACCACAGCGAGCGCACAACTCCGGTTTCAAACAAACAGCTTGTGGGATGATGTGTGACTTCGTGTGCGTCAGGGGGCACCCGTAGACGAGAATACAAGCGTAGGGTGTGTTTGATGCCGCGCAGCCCCCATGCGTGTCTCGGCAACACGACAGATAGGACATGCATTGCTTATTACTGTCGGGCGTGAGGAAAAGAAAAGTGCCCGCAGAAGAAGATCGACGGGCGCGGTGTGCTCGTCTTACATGAACCGCTTGCTGTCGAATCGAAATGTCTGCAAGTAGTGGAGGGAGTGACAACATGGAGGTGACATTTTCCCTCTGGTTTCTCGAAAGGATCAACAACGGCCGGTGCTGGCTGCGACAACAGCAATGAATGTACATGTGTAGTTGCTCTCACAGCAGGGGCTTACAGAAGGATTCCATCCGGTTGAATATCATCCCAGGCACAAACTAGCACTCCGCAAGGGCTGTCATTCTGCGAGGCTGGTGTGCTAGCGCCGGGAATAGCCATATAGCCACTGAACATTGGGGCTTGTGGGTGGTGCTACTGCATGCAGCAGCGGCCTGTTGCTCCGTGGTCACCTGGCAGAGTTGTCTTCGCACCAGCTGTTCCTGAGCAACTTTCTCTTCAGCAATGTCACTCCATGAGGTTTGCAGACTACAGGACAGCATCAACACTCTAAGCCGCATTACCGCCACTTCGACCTTCGCTGGACCCCGTAGTCAATATAGCTTTAGGTAGCTTTTTTTCAACCAAATTTGAAATTTACAAGGGTTTTCCGGACGTGGGGGGCATATAGCCCCCCCCCGTCCTCTGGGTTGCTGTGTCTAGGTGATGGTGGAAGGGAAGTGGTGTGGATGGTGGGTGAGGCTGGACACCAAGGGCGGGAGTGTTGTAATTGATCGGAAGGATGAGTGTCGCATGACAGAGGGGCCCGATGGAGGAACACAAAACATGTATTAGACAGGAACGCCGAGACTTCGCAGGAGTACTAAAAAAAAAGTACCCGCAGGGGAGATGTCCCTATAGAATATGCTGTCTGGGAAATCGTGGACATACGGGTAGTTTTCTCTGACGCAATGATTCCAATATTAATCTGTCTATGACTCTTTTCGATGATAGAGATGGAGTCGTTGTGTCTTATTAAGAAAAATAACAAAAAATCAGATTTGACTACTTAGGCTACTTCTTATGTGTAATATCTGATCAGATTATTTTTGATCAAGAATGACCTCATCAAAAATGACGAGGTGTCTCGACGCCCCGAATCCCGAATCTTATGTGTCATAAAAAATTTATCAGAAAAAAAGTTGGGTTTCATAGGT